AGTAAGTTGTTTAATTTTACTCTGTTTTTTATTATGTTTATTTAATCAGATTTTATTTTTGGTTTTTGTAACAAAATAAAATCTGTGGTTTTATTTATTTATTTATTATTTCGAGTTTGATTTTTGTAATCAAACAAATTCTCTCCTTTTTCTTTATTTCTTTAAATTCTTATTGTTGTTGTGTACACAATAGAATTAAATCTTTTAAATACAGTGAAGATTGTCCTACAGTTTCTAGTGCAAAAGTTGCTTCAATTTTGTTGCCTTAAATGCAAGAGAAGTAACCAAACAGCTAGTTTCAGCATGCTCACGGAAGCATTAACAATAACAATATAATAAATCAATTGCTAATTTAATATTCCTTTCATAATCAATTAAGAAAAGCTCCACAATTAGAATACAAAAAAAATTCTGTATAAAAAGAATCCTGCATATAATATCAAATGTATTCCTATATGAAATATCAAGACAAAGAACAACGAAGACAATTGCTTTCGAGATGATAATTTATTGTATTCCATAAAAATATTATTCAAAGGATATGATCAATTTAAAAGAAGGAAAAAAAAAAAACCATAAACTCAAAACCAGTCAACCCATTGCTTCAAACAAAAGAATAATGAACTTAAAATATGAACATGGCATTCATTTTCATTCTAACAACCGTGTCAAAATTAGAGTGTCATAGTGTTGGTGACAGGTTCATACCCAAATCTTGCACATACCATGATGGAGGCTTGAATAGCAATTTCACTCACTTATAAAACTCAAAGCATTATGAGCTGCTTGAAATATTTATGTTCAACAAATGGGATTAAAGTGTAATACCCACGACTTACATATGTCAAAATAGACAACAAAAGATAACATTCATTTGAATATTTTATCAAGCTTGGAATTGCATTCCTAATTTGTTTTAATGCTAACGCTGTGTTTGGATCATGAATAGGGATTTGGAAAGGGAAAGGAAAATAGAGAAATAATTTAGTTTATATTCCATTCACATTTCACTAATTCTTTTACTCTCTCTCTTTATAATCCTACCAAAATCCACGATCCAAACACACCTACGAATATTATACAACACATCCGTAACATAGAAATTTTCATATATGTGTCTTTTAAAAAAAACATAAGCATAACTATGCCAATCTTAAGCAACGTTCCTACACAAGAGGGGAAAAGAAAGAAAAAAAGAAGAAGTCATATTAGCACCTCCACAATTCAATCCCACGAGAAATTGAAGTGCCAAAAAATTATTATTGAATAGTAATTAAGATATAAAGCTCATAGGCATGGCTACTAATAGAAGTTTTTTAAAAAAATTACAAAAAAAAAAAAAAGCAAAAAATCATATGCATAATGCTTCCATTTAGAATTATACCACCAGGATTTTTATTAACCCAAGAAAAACAAATTTAGTGATGTATTTTTTGTTAATGTTAAAGTGGCAGATAACATCAAATTTTATTGCTAAGAATATAATTGAAACTACCTAATAGAATTTCTAGGTAATTTCCAGCTAGTTAATGTAAGCGAATTCCTGAACCCAAACAAACATTAGCTAAACACACGTACATGTACCTCAAAGAGATACAGAGAGAAAAATAAAGTGAGAGGACCAAACATCAATCAATTGAAGAGAAACCCATTACAAATAGTTTCTCTTTATTCTCAACTATACAAAAGTTTCTCTTTCTTTCTCTGATTCAAATCTTAGGAAAGTAAATGCAACATATCAGTCTATTCCTTCTCTTCACAATCAAAAACCTTCCTAACATAATTCAAATTAATCCCAACCAAAGAATCCACATGATCAAAGTAATTAGAAAGTTTTATAGCAATATCCAAAAGTTCTCTTTGTTTTGGGAAGAAAGTTGGGAATGAATCTAACCAATAACAAAAATCTACATGATCAAGGTTTTCCTGCTATATACAAATCACAAAGCAAAACAAACAAATCACTGAGAAAAATAGAGTGAAATAGTGGGTTGTGCACCAACCAATAATAAAACTTCAAGAGGGTTCCAACCTTACACCTCTTCGGAAATAAAGCATCCTTGGAACCCTCAAGACAATATTAAACATCCAATTAAAATCATTAATAAAAGACAATAATTCGCGACTCAATCAAAAAACCAGATGCCCAATCAAAACTTCATGTTGCATGTATTAGAGACTTAATCAATCCCTAGTTGTAAATGGCCTAGTTGATACCAAATCAATCCCTAATTGATACCCAAAGTATGATAATTGTAAGAAAAGATTAAACCATTGCTTCAAAATTTATTCAACTTTTCAACTCAATAGCAAGCATGATTGATGATTAATTTGTAGACTTGTAGAGTCAAGGAAGACAACCAACCAAAAGAAAAAGTTAGACAATCAGAATGAGCAACCATTGCTTCAATAAGAATACAAATCAGATACTTACCTCAGTGTTTGGATGTGATAGGTTTTGAAAAAGTTTTACTTCTTCCTCATGCTTTCTAATGTGAGCCTATTAAGCAAATTAAAAACAAAAAACAAAAATGGAAATGCAATTAAGTCAAACAAATAAAATAGTTTTGCCAATCAACCAATCCAAATATATACATAGTTATTTAGTACACCACAAAGGCAAATCTTCAAATACAAATTGTAGGAATCCATAACATAAATGTAGTAAAGCAATTAAACTTGTGTTTTCTCTTCTTGAACCACTATTGACTGTAATTGTAACCTTCATTCAGACATATACCAATGACAACAAAACAAATGCTATGTATAACAAATTACTAATTTTTTTGATGACTATGTATAACAAATGTACAACAAAATAAATGGTATGTATAACAAATTACTAAACAAATGCTATGTAAAACAAACTAATAATAATAACAAAATTACTAACCTGCTTGATGGCTGGAAGCTCTCTATAATCCAGCCAAATGTACTGCAGGGTGCGGCTGCTTCAATAAGAATCTGATTCTCGATTTGCAAATGTTGGAGTCGATCGGTGTTATTCTAATTAATGACAGGAATAAAAATTAAAATTTAGGAATAATTATTGAAAAATGTGACACAAATGTAGAGATAGAATAAGAAAGAGACCATAGATTGTGATGGAGGATACCTATTGAATCGTGGCCTCGAAATCGCTTTAAGTGCTTCAGTCGTCCATAAACACTTTGTATATCAAGTCTCAATTGTTGTTTCGTAATCACCACAAACCCATGGTGAAGACTGTGATGGTTGAGACTTTAGAATGGGCTATGACGACTACATCGAGAAGAAAGTTGAAGTGGTCTCAAATCCATGGTGAGGAGGTGAAAACAATGAGGAAGATGAGAGGAAGGAGCTGAAACAACAACATTAAACCTACAATGGAAACCAAGCACCCTGTTACCAACAAATATTGCAAAAATAAAAAACAAAAGTAATGTTTAGCATCAAACCAAACAAAACTAAAGTATAGTTCAAATCTATCACAATTTTATCAACGAAACTAACTAATTAATCAACAAAACCAATTAAAGTTTACAACAACTTTCTCCAATGTTTCAACAAAACTAACTAATTAAATATCTGTTTGGGATCTCATTGAACAAAACACCGAATACACAAACACCGAATACCAACAACCTTAGTCTGCTCCATTGCCTCCATCAAAGTCGCTGCATCGTATGGCAGAAAACATAATGGTGCTTAAATAGATAGATTAATGGGCTGTTCAAAAAAAAAAAGAAGATAGATTAATGGTGACTTTAGAAACTGATTTAAAACAAATCTAGCAATCGAAACTGATTTAATACAAATCTAATACAAATTAGCAAAAGGAAATCAACTAATTAATCAACAAAACTAATTAATTAAAAGTTTCCAGTAGATTGTCCCATGGTTTCAACGTCTCCAACATAACTAACTAATTAAAATAACTATTTGGGATATCCTTGAATAGAGCTAGCAAGACCAAGACACTGAACACAGGGCCAGCAAGGCCAAAACGAATACCCACAACCTTAGTCTGCTCCATTGCCGCAGTCGAAGTCACTATAAAGGTTGATTAATGGTGCTTAAACATATAGTAGAAAAAATATAAAGAGATACATTAAAGATAATGGTGCTTAAAGAAAGGGTAGAAAAAATATAATGAGATAGATTAATGGTGCTTGAACAAAGGTTGATTAATGGTGCGGGAAACCCTTAAAAAATAAATTAATCAAAATTTGGCAGGGGTTGATTACTTTTTCCCATGTGCATATGTATTCGTGTGGGAACCAATGTAAACAAAAGAGGGAACAAAACAAATAATCCAACATATAGAAAGGTGCATATCAGATTAGTCCAACAAGAAAAAAAAAACAAAACAAAGGTGAATCTAAATACAAATAACCTATATGTATACATAAATCACCATTTAACCACTATGAAGTAGAGGGATCAAAATGAAGATGACAATATACATTAACAAACAAATGTTTGTCAGAAAAGTCAAATACCATATTGAGGGCTCCTAGACGAACCATCTATCAGAGCCATCGACTTGGCTTGCTGCTTTTTTACTTTAATGGATTTGATTCATTTATCAGATTTCCTTCAGACACTTTTGAATTCAAGCCTCAGCTCTCACCAATTTGTTGTATTCCCTTTCTTAACCCCTTTTCTAACCCTAATCCCCTATTTGTTTACACAGATCATGTTGACTGCATATTCGGGTAGGAAAATGGGTATGAGGGTGTCGAAATGACAACCTTGCACTTGGGAGAAATGGGCTTTCGTTGAAAATCCCAACAGCGGTTAACTATTTGACCAGTTCGAGCCAAAAACCAAACTGCAAGGGCAAAATTAATACATTTAGAAATATAGGAACTAAAATGAAACTATGGGTAAACTATAAAGACCATTTATGTAATTTACCCTAAATTTGAAAAAAAATAAATAAATAATTAAACTATGAGATAATATACACTATTTTTATTATTGAAATTAGTACAGGTAATAAATTGTAAGCGGTTAAAAAAAAAATTAAAAAAAACCTGCTCCCCACCCTTGAGTTTAATAAGTTGCTGAGTTGACCCACTATTCGCTTCTGGGTGAAGATCCGAGGCTGTGAATACTTCTCCTCTGTTGGATCAATTTTTTGTTGGTTAGACTCTGTTGGATCAATTTTGGTGAGTTGTATACTCTTTCTTCCTCAATTTCTTCCTAGTTTTTTCTGTTGGATCAATTTTGGTCAGTTGTATACTCTTTCTTCCTCAATTTCTTCCTTTTTTTTTTTTTTTTTTGAACATAAAAATTAGGGCTAAAGTCATTACACTGGTAAGTTGTGATTACTGGTTGTTCTATTGTTCTGGTTTCTTCATAAATTGTTTTATTCTTCTACACAATAATTAATTAGTTTTGTAAATAATCATTGTTTTGGTAATTGAAGTGCATAATGCAGATTATGCCTGGTTTTTCTCCTGTGTGGCTGGAGAAATTTTCGATTTTGTGTACCTAATCCTTTTCTTTCATTTTCTAGTTTGCCAAACGGACTGTGATTCTGACAAGAAGTTGTATCGGATCAGAAGATGTGAATTGTCAACTGAATAGGAGTCAAAATACAATTTTGCAAATCAAACAATGACTCAACTGAACCCTTTGGAGTTATTGAAGCAATTGGAGGATATATTGGATTCTGACCCTCTAATGTAAGCTTTCTTCTTCTATTCTTCTTATGTGTGTGTGTGTGTGTGTGTGTGTGTGTGTTTGTTCTATGGGGTATACTCAACCAGAACATGCAGCATTTCATATAGATATGCATATATAGATTTTGGAACAAGCTTAGGTGATGTGTCTATGGTTAAATAGTCACTTCGATTGTGTAAGCCAATACAAAGCAATAAGGAATTCCGCATGTTCAACTGATACCCGCAATAACAGAAAAATAAAGGGACTGAATTCTGAATGTGCAATTTTAAAAAAGTTAAATCTGCATGTCACTGAGTTTTTATGTGGGTATTCATTGGCTTTTCAGTTTTCTGCAAATAAATTTTCAACGGGTTATCAAAAAAAAAATTATTTTTTTATTTTTTGAAAAGAACAGAGAATGAAATAACGGAAGTATAAATATTAAATTGTAATAAGTTAAAGAATTACGTAGACTGTTCAAAGTAGAACATAGTACTTTTTGGAATGCTACAGAAAGTGTGTACCCTCTTAGTTCAATCTTAGCATCTTTGATATGTCATTTTCAGATATAAGAAATTGTCAATTGCACCATGTCATCACTGCGTTTAACTCTCTCAAGCATCATGAATCTTTGTTTTGCCTTCGTCTCATCAAAATTGGCTACAGCTCTTTGATTCTGATTGTGCATGCACTGCACATGGTTCATATGTCTTCATATATATGTATATATATATATTTTTAGTTTCTGATAAGCAGACCTTCTATAGGTATTTCACTTTATAATTTACACATAGTTGATGAGTTAGTTCACATCATACATAATTACAAATATTTAAAATTTTCTATGTTAGCTTCATTTTTGTTGTATCATCATAGAATCATAATGACTTATGCTAAATAAAGCCGTCCAACAACGGACCAAGTGACGTATACATCTAGACGTCATTCATCTTCTTTTTGTGCTATACAATTCAATTATTTTTTTTGCTTTGCGAGTCCTTACAGGGGAAATTTGGTTCATTCTGAATATGGGGAGTTTCCTTATGAGATTCTTTGTGACATTTTGTTATTCACTTATTTTCATTGCCTTGGTTTTATCTTTATAATATATTTTACTTGCATTCAGTGATGAAGTGGGGTTTATTCATCCATCCCAGTTTGTCATGCTCAATGAAGAGGCTGGTGGCCCCCTCCCATCTTCTGTTGGGACTATGCTTCAGTCAGAAGATAGGGTCCTGGGATCAAGAGTATCAAAAGTTAATCCGTCAGAGACAGTTTTTTGGTGTCGAGACCATAAGTTGGGCATCTCAACTCAGGTTCTTCTGCCATTATATAATGTGGCAAAACAAACTTTTATGGCTGCACTTGAAAGATACAAGATTCATAGCAACTTATCTGTAAAGAAAGATGAATCTGGAAGTGATAACATGTCAAGTTGGTATGCATCTTCCCTTGATGTCCTTGAAAGTGAAGTTATGAAGCATAGCAGGGCTCTGTTGTTGCTAAGCTGTGATTTTGGCACTGTGTGGAATTCCAGGTCATTCCCTTTCTAATATTCATGTTGTTAACTTTATTTTCTTTTGGCCATTTGTTTTTGTTTGATGCTAACTTTGACTTTTGGAAGTTTGATAGCAATTGTCGTGAAATGCTTATGAGTTGTGTTTCTTCTCAAGTGTCGGTCCATTTTATCTTCTAGTTGACCTGTGTAGTACTTCATTAATACTGGCCTATAGTTTAACTTTCTGGTAATTGAAAAATGTTGTGTTGTGCCCGTTACTTACTATCAAGTGATCCAGATTCTATGAAATATGTTATTTCTTTTTATACATTGAATTTTAACAATTACCTACCGGACTTTGCATTCCTTAAAAAATAGATCCACACCACTAGGACAAATGAGATACATCATTGCATATCTTTGAAATTTTAAGAAGATGAACGCCAAGATTTTGAAATTATGGAACTTGGAGAATTTTTTTTTAGGTTTTTCTGTGGAATAGTAAAGTTTTCAACCGTGTAGTTTCTATTACTGTTTATTCTGATGATTTCTGTAAAAATTTATGTATTATTGATTGATGTTTATTTTGATATTAATTACAATGATTCATGATTCCTATATATAGAAGAGGGTGAGTGTGTGCAGCCTCACCTTGGCCGCCCGCCGGACCTCTACACATACCTTCTCTCCCGCTGTTTTGATTCGGAGTTAGCAGAAGCGTCACATATTGATCCACACACTGCCATACACACAGACACCACAACACACACATGGGCTGAGGGGGGATTTATCGCATGACAGCTCTCTCTCCCTCTCTCACATACTCGACCCGAATTACTGGCACTAGACGGTTCGAATCCTCAGCCGGAGGCTCCGATCTCCGCCATCAGCAGTCGTGGCTCCGGCGGCGCAACAACAACGACAAAGCCTTTCTCGTCGAAAGCCATCATCATCGTCGTCTAATTCGACTGTAATTTCTGGGCCGACTCGCATAGTCTATAGAGAAGCCCTAAACGAGTCTTCGGAGTCGGATCTCAACCTTCCCTTCTGGCAACTTGAAGGGACTCCAACTCTTCCTGCGTTTGGGTGTCTTGGAAAATATGCCAGAGGCCAGAGCTTGCTGTAACCACAGTTCAAATTCTTCCTCTTCATCTGTCATTTCAGCATCCAAATCCCATGGATACCTGCTTGAGTTGGATCTCTGAGTTTTCTCCAGCCCAACCATGTTTACATGGAAACTAGGCCGATGAGTATTCGACCTACAGAGGAGCTTCAGAAACAAGCTACTGTGAGATCCTCTGTGCTGGAAGTACTGCTAGAGATTACAAAATTTTGTGATCTTTATCTCATGGAAAGAGTTCTCGATGATAAAAGTAAAAAAAACAAAACAAAACAAAAAAAAAAAGGTTCTCCTAGCTTTAGATGATGCTAGGGTTTTTACATCTGGTGGCTTGGTCACAGATAAGGTTCTCTTTTGTGGCACAGAAAATGGTCGGACTTCTTTTGTTCGGCAACTGGAGCCAGACTGGCATCTTTAATCAAACCCATTTTTTCTTTTCATCCATTTTACACCACCAAACACTTTACACCCACTCTCTCTCCTCACTTTGCATCCACCGCCCAAACTTTTTTTTATTCTAAAGCTTAATTGGTGCACTCCTTGTTCCCCACTTTCTTTATTTTATATATATATATATATATATATATATATCTCTTTTTATTATATATTTAAAAAAAATAATTAAAAAAAAAATATAAAAAAAAAATCATCTCTCCTCCGTTTGATTTCAAACTCCATTATTTTTATTTATTTTCTCCAAACCACTTTACTTATTTCCCCCATCTTTCATTTTTGATTTCAAATATATTTTTATTATTTCTTTCTTTATTTTTCTTTCACATTATTTTTAATCTTTTTCCAATTCCATTCATACCTCTTAAAAAGTCTAATTGCTAATCATATTGTACCGGTTTGGTATCAATTAGTCAGGGTGTGTAGCGATTTATTTAGTTTGATTTGAGCCCTATAGCTTGGTAACAAACTGTTTAATACTGTCTTTCATTCTATGGTTCGAAAGGAAAATTAGGGGAAGGGCTGAGGTTTAGGAAGTCGTACATATGCTTCACAATTTCTGGCTTGTTATTCAATTAAAATTGCTGAAAGTGTTTTGGGAAATGGGATATAATAAGTGGAAGATGTAGTTGGTTTCACTGCTGTTTTTTTGGTGATTTGTGGAATGGCTTATAGATGTGATTAGTTATAATTCACTTATTTTGTTGGTCTTCAAAGCTTGAGTCTGTGCAGTCAGCGTACCTAGTGTGTGTAGAGAAATTTATTGTTGAAAAATTAGTTTTGATTCACATTTGATCATTTAGTTTACAATATTCAGCCTCAACAAGTTGGAAACTTGTCCTTTTAATTCTATTCCAGATTTCCAGATTTTGGAACAGCCGCCTGCATCATCCCTTCCGAGAACTAAGGAGAACAATCTGGTTCCTGTAAGACGACCTGACAAAGGTGGCACACATTCCATTCAATCTCCCAAACTTCTTGTTAATCATTTCCCAGTAATGTTCAATGCAAAGACTACAATTATACATTACTATATAGATATTAAAGAGGAGGTTCCTTCCAAGAATCGTTCTGCAAAAATACAGAAATCCCATCTCCGTATGATCAAGGACAAGCTATTCTCTGATGATCCTTCTCAATTTCCTCTGTCAAGCACTGCTTATGATGGTGATAAAAACATATTCAGTGCAGTTGAATTACCCACTGAGAAATTCAAGGTGAAATTTTCTGATGGGGAAGGTATGAAGTGTGTTTCTTACATAGTTACTATAAAGGAAGTAAAAAAGCTGCGATTTGGCAAGCTGAAGGATTACTTAAGTGGGGAAATCATGTCCATCCCTCGTGATATTCTGCAAGGGATGGATTTGGTAACGAAGGAGAATCCCTCTCGGGAAAGAATCCCTGTCGGTCGAAGCTTTTATCCTACAACATCCAATAAAGATGATGATCTCGATGGTGGAGTTACAGCATCTAAAGGTTTCCAACACAGTTTAAAACCCACTTCCCAGGGTCTTGCACTGTGTTTGGACTACTCAGTTTTGGCATTTCACAAGCGATTGCCTGTTATAGATTTTCTTAAAGAACATGTTTGGGGATTTAAACAAGTTAATGATATGAGAAGGTTGAGAAGAGATGTGATAAATGCATTAACCGGATTGAAAGTTAGGGTGACTCATCGTGTGACCAACCAAAAGTACATTATTGTGGGGTTAACTGATCAAAACACACGAAATATTTCATTTGATGTTGAGGATCGAGAGGAAAAGGCTCCCCCAAAGCGAGTTAGCCTTGTTGAGTATTTCAGGGAAAAGTATAATAAAGAAATCAAGCACAAGGATATCCCATGCTTAGATTTGGGGAAAAATAATAGAATAAACTATGTGCCAATGGAATTCTGCATCTTGGTTGAGGGTCAGAGGTTCCCGAGGGAGCACTTGAGTAGAGATGGAACCATTTTGTTAAAGAACATGTCACTGGTTCCACCAAAGGATAGAATGAATACAATCTGTGAAATGGTGCAAGCTGATGATGGACCTTGCGGGTATGTAACATTTCTTAAGATCTGCAATTTTTTTCATCTTATATATGTTTAGTAGTATTGCTTCTTAAAAGATATTTGCTTCCTCTACATGCTGTGTACTGTCAGATGGGTGCATGTCATTATCATTTTCTCTGATGCAAACCACTTGATCTGCAAGCAACAAACTCGGAATTAAAAAAATCTTAGTATTTGTTTGTGAGGGGTCTTGTGTTTCAAGCTATTTTGTTGAGGTTGGTTTAAATTGGTTTTTATCCATTTTTTTTTTTTTATTCCTTCGTGCTTTGAAGATTTCTTTTCATTGAGAATTTTGTGTTTGTTTTCTTTTTCCAAAAAATATGATTACTAATTTTAGCATTTGTTTGTGAAGTAGTGTGCCAGAATCTAGTTGTTGAGAGTGGTTTAAATTGGTTTATCTTATGCTGCCTTTATCCTTATTTTTCTCCTTCCTGCTTTGCAGCTTTGTTTGACTTGAGAATTTATTTTTTCTTTTCTTTTCTTTTCCCGAATCTGATACATATTTTTGCCATGGAATGTCTAGGTAGTTCTCATTTCTAGTATTCCAGCAACTTTATAAAAGTAGTATAAGAAAATCCTTGATTGGGTAACTTGGCTTATCTTGTTCCAATTTGGAGGCTTCCGAATATTTGTTTTGCTTCATACTTCTTGTTTTTGTTTCTTTCCATATAATGAACTTTTTTTAAAAAAAAATAAACTTACTGGCAGGGGGAATATAGCTCAAAATTTTGGAATTCAAGTGAACAAGAACATGACAAAAGTGGAAGGGCGTGTCATTGGACCACCTCAGTTGAAGTTTGGTGCTTCCAACGGCAAGGTGAACGTAGTAAGAGTTGACAAGGAGAAATGTCAGTGGAACCTTGTTGGGAAGTCAGTTGTGGACGGTAAACCAGTCAAGCGCTGGGCTTTACTAGATTTCAGCTCTTCTGACCGTTTCAAACTAGATCATGGAAAATTTGTTCTGAATCTTACAAATCGTTGCCAAAAGCTAGGGATCCACATTGAGCATCCTCTTGTTTATCGTCCAACTGACATGCGCCAACTCTCTGATATCACTAGGCTTCGTAGTCTCCTTGAAAGTGTTATTTCGGAGGCTAATGGGAGATGCCAAGGTCGATTACAAATCATTGTCTGTGTGATGACTAGGATTGATCCTGGCTACAAGTATCTCAAATGGCTCTCCGAGACCCAGATTGGGATAATAACCCAATGTTGCTTATTCAATCATGCTAACAACGCGAATGATCGATACTTCGCGAACCTTGCCCTCAAGATCAATGCCAAGCTCGGAGGCAGCAATGTAGAGCTCATTGAACCTCTCCCCCGTTTTGAGGGCGAAGGCCATGTTATGTTTGTGGGGGCCGATGTCAATCACCCGGGTGCACGGAACTCCACATGCCCGTCAATAGCAGCAGTTGTTGCTACTGTCAATTGGCCTGCTGCAAATCGCTATGCTGCCCGTGTTTGCCCCCAGTACCATCGGTCGGAGAAAATTTTGAACTTTGGGACAATGTGTCTAGAACTTATTCAAGCTTATGCTCGGATCAACAAAGTAAAACCACAGAGAATTGTGGTGTTCCGTGATGGGGTAAGTGAGGGCCAATTCGATATGGTTCTCAATGAGGAGTTGTTTGATCTAAAGAAGGCCATTTATGAAGAACATTACCGCCCAACAATAACTCTAGTTGTGGCCCAGAAGCGACACCAAACACGCTTGTTTCCTGAGAAAATGAAGGATGGGGGTTCCACTGGCAATGTTCCTCCAGGAACAGTTGTGGACAAAAAAATCACTCATCCATTTGAATTCGATTTTTACCTTTGCAGCCATTACGGGAGCTTGGGGACAAGCAAGCCTACGCACTACTACGTCCTTTGGGATGAGCACAACTTCACTTCTGACCAATTGCAGAAGCTCATTTATGACTTGTGCTTCACATTTGCTCGATGCACAAAACCAGTTTCTCTTGTCCCGCCAGTCTACTACGCTGACCTTGTTGCGTATAGGGGACGAATGTTCCAAGAGGTGATGATGGAGGTATCTCCTGTCTCGGTATCGTCTTCATCTTCATCTTCTGCGACATCAACATCATCATTGTCTGTTTCTTCGTTTGATGACAAGTTTTACAAGTTGCATCGTGATCTTGAGAACATCATGTTTTTTGTCTGAAGGCCCAAAAATATTCGGCCAATCTCCTTTTGGGCATAGACAGACAATAGAGAAGGTGATTTTGCTAGTTACTTAGTGTTTGGCCCGCAAAATGCAGATCAATGATCCTTTTCTTCAACTGTAGAAATGAGTTTGTGTGTGAATTTAATGTTTTTGAAGTCAGTATTTCTTTTGATTTTGTTTTTTAATTTTTATGTCTCTGTTTCTATGATATGCTGGTGTGTTTGAGGGTTATGCTGTCATGTTTTTCTTGAATTTACTCTTGAGCATTAATTGAGCTGCAGTTGTTGAATTGTACATGAAATTTGCTGCTGCGAAATAAATAAATAAACATGATAAATTTGAAGAGTAGAATAAGGCTGATATATATTACATTCCTTCGTTCATAGCTACAAATTTCATTTGGAGAATCATTTTTTTGTTTTTCTTTTACTTACAGAACAGTACTCCTGATCACTTTTACAAAAGCAATTATAAAGAAACTATGCTAAGAAAGAGGAAACAAAAACAAAAAATAAATAAACAAATAGAAAACAAAAAGCAAAACAACATAAGTGTTTTGCAACACAGCCTTTAATAGTGAAAAGATATAACACAACACAAGTCTCTTGATAGACGCATGAAGTTTAGAATTTTCTAGTGATCAGTTGTAATTTCTTCAACCAGATGATTGTCTAGCTAGCTAGGACAAGACACCGATGCTTGTGATGATCGAAATAAGCTCTCTAGCTGTCCATGTCACTTGTGATAGATTCCGAAGATGGTCCATCAGACCTTTATCCGTGAGTGAGAATTTAGACAAACATTCATCTGTACAAGTACCCGAAAAACAAAAATAAAAACAAAAACAAAAACAAAAACATTCGTGAGGTACAAGTAACATTCAACAGGGCTACTCCAAAAGAAATTCAAAAAAGTTGTACCTGAAGTCTTTGTGAGAGTTAGTAAGGTGAGTGAAGCAAGCACCCTTTCCTCAAGAGCTTTGTCATAATTCAAGGATTCTATCAGATGTGGAACGAGGATTGAGCACACCTCTGATTGAAGATTTTCATCACAAATCAAATGGAGATAACCACTCATCCATGACACCGTGACAAGGCTCGCACGTGCCAAACACGGGATGCCATTGGCTATTGAGTCAGAAAGTGCAGCCAGCAGTCCCTTGTTGCCGCCGGTCAAATCCATGGCTAAGAGAGAGAGAGCAAATCGGGAAAAAAACAGCAGTGACGAGCAGAAAAGCAGTGCCAGAAACGCCAACGACGATGACGAGTAAGAGTACAACCACGGATATGTGAGAGGCGAGGTGAACGGCGATAGAGGCTAGACGATGATACGGGTGCCGCCGCCGACATAGCGGAGGAGGGGTGTAAGAAAATGTTGAAGAAGTCAAGGTATGTGTAGAAAATAAGCAGAATAGGTTGAGGTCCGGCGGGCGGCCAGAGTTAAGTGTGCTAAAGGCGAGGTTGCCGCCCGCCGGTGAAGCGAGAAATACTAAGGTCTTAACCTTGCTCTGATACCATGTAAAAATTTATGTATTATTGATTGATGTTTATTTTGATATTAATTACAATGATTCATGATTCCTATATATAGAAGAGGGTGAGTGTGTAGTAGGTAAGGAGTAGGTGAAGTGGAGGTGGTAGTGGTGTAGTGGGTTAGGTTTAGTGGAGTAGGTGAGGTGGTAGTGGTGTAGTGGGTTAGGTTTAGTGGAGTAGGTTTAAGTGGGTGAAGTAGGTGGAGAGTAGGTGGATTTTAACAATTTCTCACTCTCTCTGTTCATCTTCCTCTCAAACTCTTCATCTGCTTCTCTCTCTTCAACTTGGTTTCTTGATATAAAGAGAGATATTTATTGCTTCTACTAAAAGAGAGAATGTAAAGAGAGATGTTTGTGTCTTGCGCTAGAACCATGTTTTCTCGCTGATGTCTTTTGTGATATGATCTTCTGGGATTTGCTTTTGTTATATCATCAGTCTTTATCATGATACCTTTTTATCTGTTGTATGTACCTTGCAGGAAACTGGTTTTGTCAAATAAGCAACATTCTCAGATGTTTGTGGATGAACTGTTATTGTCTGCACTGGTTCTCTCATATGCGCCTAAAAGTGAATGCTCTTGGAGCCATAGGTAATGACAATTTTATTTAAGCAGAGTTGCTTTACACTCAAGTAGGCAATGCACTGATATAAGTATTTGTTGTTGGTGACTCCCCCCAAAAAAAAAACTTTGTGAGGACAAAATTAAGCTATTTCTCCATGATCTCCTGCACTGGTATATCTGTGATTTGATCGGGATAACTGTATATGTATATATAGGTACATGCGTGTTTTCCTGCATTTGAAGGTTTTGATATGTTTTTCTAGATAGTTATTTGTATTTTTCTTCTTGTTAAGTGGATTCTTATCGAAGTCAATTATTGATAGGCGATGGGTGATCAAGATGATTGATGGAAAGAGTTCAAATCTGCAAGAGATTGTGGAAAAAGAATCTGAAATAGTGAAAAAAATAGCCGAGGTTAATTTCATTCAGGAACTAATTGCATTTAATCTTTAAATGACCAAGGCTTCATTAATTCATTTTATTTTAGCTTTTTTTTTTTTTTTTTTTGGTTTAGGCCAGTATGTTGTTCCCAAAGGGGCTCTACTTTCCCCTTTGATTCTTTAAAATAATATTAGCTCATATACTCCTCCATTTGAGATCTTTTGTCTGCTTCATAATGCTGCTGAAGTGATCTTGTCATCTTGTGCTATGAGCATAAAGTATTGGATTTTTATAACACCATTTCAGAATTTAGTTCAATTGCTTTAGATTGTCCAAGGAACTGCTTATTGAAATTTTCAGTTGAGGTTTCTTCTTGAGCTGAATCTTCTGAATTATGTCTGTCAAATGTTCTCTAGGTTTTCACAGGGTTTAACATGTCTGTCAGATGTTACGCAAGCTATTGTGGCTTCAAAAGGGCCAAAAGAAAGGCTCTTTTATTAATCTGGTTCTCTTTTTTCTCTGCAGAAATCAAAAATGAATTATCGTGCGTGGAATCACCGATGCTGGTTAGTTTCCCATATGTCAGGAGGACAGGTCAGATTCTAAACTTTCCGGATTTTACTAGCATTTTAAAACCATTGCTTTACTTTTCTGTGTCAATTTTCATTCCATTAATTCTGAAATATACACTAGAATAGTTAGGTTTTAGGAAGTTGTGGTATGTTGGCCTTCATGTTCTTCAAAGTATGGTGCTCATCATTGTATATCTGTCTTGTTTGTATTTGTTTCAGAGTTTCAATCAAATTTCCCCTTGATTTCTTATTATTTTTGTTGCTTGTTCATTGTTATATGTGTGCATCCATGGAGAAATTATCATGTTTGAAACTTTAGGCTCTGTTTGGTTTAGTTTTTGAAAAGAGTTTTCAGTTGTATTTTGAAAGATAAGTTGTTGAAAAGAGCTTTGAAAATTGAAAATTTGTTTGGTTATACATTTTGAAAATAATTTTGGGATGATTTGTAGTTTTTTTTGTAGTTGAATAGATGGGTGTGAGAGAAAATTTGATTACTTGATGTGTAGAATGTGAGAGAATGAGAGAGGAGAGAGGAGAGAGAACAAGTGATTGATTGATTTATTAATAAAAAAAAAAGAGGAGGAGAGAGAAAAAAATAATTTTGAAAATTGGTAAATCAAACATGTTTTTTGATTTTTTGATCCAAATGTTAATTTAAAAACTAAACCAAGTGGTACCTTAGTTTTTAAGTTGCCTTATCTGGTTTTTTCTCCATTATGTGTCTGCTTTCAGGTGCTGAACGAGTTGAACAAATCCAGAGGTTGGACTGGATTGCACATTGCTGACAGTTCCTGCTTTCACTATCGCACAGTGAGTTTCCTTTGACGTTAATCAAGCTTGATTCTTTTTTTAATCTCACTTTATTAGTGCATGAAATTTATGTAAATGTGTAAATACTCTGTTTATGTGTTATGTGTAATAGCATGCTTCCTGGTTTATAGAAGTCATTTGTTTAAAAAGGCTCAAATTTGTCCTCATAATCCTGTTCAATTTCAGAATTGTGGACAGTGACAACTGATTGATAATTATCATCATTTTCAGCGTTTATCCATATATTTCTGTATTCTACCACATGGATCATGTCTTATCAATGCTTCAGTTTTCCAGTAACTTCTGGGTCTTTGCAATATGTGGTCAAATGGAAGTGCATTCCATGCTGGTGTTCTGTTCAAAAGGCCATTGACAAAATTATTGCCTTGATGCCTTGTTACTGGGTGTATTCCTTTGTTTTCCTTTATCGACAATTCCCCCACAAAATTGTTACATTTTTTCAGTCATAACATTATGGCCACATGCTCCCCCTCACCGTAGGGAGAACTTGAAAGTTGAAAACACTTTGCCAAACCTCAATGATGCAATGTCACCAAGCTAAGTTTTGTATGTTTTTGCCATATTTTCTTTGTTAATGTTAAAACCTATTCCCTACTTCACCCACTTAAACCTACTCCACTAAACCTAACCCACTACACCACTACCACCTCACCTACTCCACTAAACCTAACCCACCACCTACTCTCCACCTACTTCACCCACTTAAACCTACTCCACTAAACCTAACCCACCACCTACTCTCCACCTACTTCACCCACTTAAACCTACTCCACTAAACCTAACCCACCACCTACTCTCCACCTACTTCACCCACTTAAACCTACTCCACTAAACCTAACCCACCACCTACTCTCCTATTTCTCTTTATACATTAAATTTCTACATGGTATCAGAGCCATAAGATTTAGGCCCGTATTTTGTTTTCTCACCGGCGAGCAGCCGGCCGGCAACCTTGCCTTCGCTGCTCGCTGGAATTTTGTACACATACCTTCGTCCATCCATTGTTGAAGATCACCAATCCAGATCGTCCTATTCTCTCATTCGATCCCTGATTCTCTCGATGTCGATAAGAACCATTAAAGTCAGCAATGTTTCCCTAGGGGCAACTTTGCAAGACGTCAAGGAGTTCTTTTCCTTTTTTGGTGATATTGAATATGTTGAAATGCTGAGTCATACTGAGCGATCCCAAATAGCATTTGTTACCTTCAAGGATTCGCAAGGAGCACAGACTGCAGTCTTACTTTCGGGAGCAACAATAGTTGATCTGACCGTCACCACAAATCTGGATCCAGATTATCAGCTTCCACCTGCTGACAAAACCAAATCAGCATATGCTGTTGCTGAGCAAAAAGTCAGTAGTGCTGGATCAGCCCTAATGAAGAACCCGTATGTACAAACTGGAACTACGTGGGTGACTGGTGTTTTTAGTAAAGTTGCAAAGGCAGCTGGAGATGTTGGCCAAAAGACAAAACAGAAGGTAGGAATGGCTGAAGAGGAGCAGCGAAGGAAAATGGTGGATGAATTTGCGCAGATTCATTTATCCGAGTCACCTAAATCACCAAATCCGAGCAATCTTCAAAGCCCGCACCGGCCAAATCACCAAGAGTGGTAGTGGTACTGTTTTTGTGCGAAGGGACAGAAATCATCACATTTCTCACCCTTTTTTTTTTTCTTTTATTTTGTCCTCCACTTTACACCTCACATGCCTTCTCTCTGTCTAAACAATAATTTTCCACCACCCAACTTTCTTTTTATTTTATTTTCTTTTCTTTTATTTATTACCCACTCACTTCTTATGATGAAAACACAATGGACCCAACTTCATGCCAGCCACATGGGCCTGTCCCTCCGCCAATGCTCTCATCCTTTTCCTTTTTTCATATATATATTTATTTCGCCAACCAATACCACTTTTTTTATTCCTTAATTTATTTTAATAACATGAGTGGCCTCCTTTTTTCCACCATCTCCCTCTTTTTCTACACAATATTTTTTTGACCACCGCCCTTTTGCGGGCTCGATAT